GCCCTGGTTTTATCAATTATGCATCTAATTATGTGCAACGGTCGATTCAGAATAGTCTTCATGCTTCAACTTCATATAATTTTAGCAACATGCAACATATGTATCCCAACTCCCATGCATCGGCAACTCCACAAATCTATATGCCGATGAACAACATGATGAGTTCGATTAATCAAGTTGAAACACCCCATGTAGGAACTTTCAATGGCATGCAACATAGTGTTTCATCCTTTTATTCATCGGCAACTAATTTGCAACATGTTAATCCAAACATGCCGGTGGATAGGGGAATTAGCGATGCTACTACTAGTTATTTGGCCAATTACCCTCAAACATCATATGCTACACCTCATGTTACTATTTTTTTGGCATCATACGCAACTGTTGATATCCATAATTCGGCTTCGCACCTTCACGGTCATGGCCGAATAAGTGAAACTTCTGCAGGAGCACAAATGCCTTCACCTACTACCGTGGCATATCATGTCCCTCTGCACAATTACAGAATTTTGGCAACATCTCATTATCAAAAGAATCTAAAAGCATCGGGGAGGGGGGGGGGGCAACCATATCCAGACTGGGTAATTGAGAACAAGCTTATATTCTCTTGGGATTTGTGCAACTCTATTCGCCAGGAGCTAATAGAAGGTGGGAAGCCTCATGATTTTGTTGTTGTAAAAGTTAGAGTTGTGCAAATGATGCAGTCGCCCAGTGTTGTACCATCCAGTGTACCACCTAAACAATTGCAGAGTTTCGGCACCTCATTACCGAAAGAGTCTCAAAGTATTGGGGAGCAATCTCATGAGGAGTGGATGGAAATTGAGATGAAAAGGTTCAAAGCTCGTCAAGCTGAGATGTGGGCTAAACTTAGATAAGAGCGAGAAGCCTTGCAAAGTCAAAAAGATAAAAGTATTGATTCAGGTAACAAAGAAAATTTGGTTATTGAAAAAGCCGAATCAAATAGTATGTGTACCGAATCTATCAAAGAAAAAGAGGATGCCAAGGCATTGGAGAGTTACTCAAAAGTGGAACATAGTATTATTCAAGTGATACAACCATCATTCTCTCCCAACGTGTATGAAGAGGTATGTCTACCAAGTGATTTACCTATTTTCAGATTTGGTCACAACTTTATTGTTGATGCATCTATTAGGAAAAATCTTATAAGTAATTTTGAAAGACCAATGATGAAGGGTAATTTATTTGTTAGCAACAAAATTGTTACAAAGTATATCGGTCAACCTATTGTGCCATTCGTAAAGACTGATAGTGACTTATTATTGCAGCCAAAGGCTTCCCCATTGCTTTACTTAAAACTTATCTCTAAGTGGGTAGCTTTGCTTGTTTCATACTTGGCTTGCACTTGGTCTCGGTTGAGACACGTGTGTTCTAACTATTTTCGTTTCAGAAATTTAAAGCCAATGTTAAATTCTTTTGAGAAATCCGATGTTAATATAATATTGTATCCAAAGACATTGGAGATATAGTGGAAAACACAATGCATAGCCGAATGGGGAGATTCCAAATCTGTACAATTCGTTTGCTTACCTCCAAAGCCGTTCGTTCACCTAGATCGGCTAGAAAACAAGTATACCTTCAACTCAAGCATGTGTGATCAAATATTTGATTTGTTGCTGAAAAATAATTATATTAGAATTCTTGATCACCATGTCAAGCCGTCCATCCAGGGACGAATGTATTGTAAGTTGCATGATTCGTCCAAGCATAATTTCGAGGACCGCAACATGTTTTGTCAAATAGTTAAATCGGCCATTGATAAAGGACGATTGAAGTTTGTTGAAACACCAAGAGATGGGCATGCTTAGAACAAACTCCGTGCAAGTTATTTTTTGGCACAAAAGTTTTGCTGAAAAATAGGAGGGCATGTGTTGACACTCAATTTTGGCATGGTCAAGAATTTAATTAAGATGACCTTAAATGGAGAAGTGGTCTACATGAAGGATTTCCGTATTATCAACATGAACATCTTCGAAGTTTGGGCCATCGCTATCCGATCTCATCTCGAGGGCCGAAACTATACTTGAAGTACTCAGATTTGTATTCAAAGTATTATTCGGCCAATTAAGCCTCCAAAATGGCCTCGTATGAAAAATCTTTCTACACTAATTGTCTTCGACTCGTCGAAACAGTCGATTTTGAGATAAAAATTGTCCCAATCTGAATTCGTATGCAAAAGTTAAAGCCATCTGAATACAGCCCTGGCAGGAGGCAAAAAGTGGCGCGCCCCACCACACACCCTGTCTGATGGGTAGCGCGAATAATAGCCTGTTTTGCGTGACCGATTTGACCCTCAAGATGACCTCTGATCAAAAAATGTTCAACATGAAAGTTGTCGACTCGTCGAAATGGTCAAGATTGCTTTCGGGCTCATTTCCATCCGAGATCATTTACCACCTCAAAAATTACCCGCAAGGTGCAGCCAGTTTAAACCGAACAGTTTTGGGAAGTTCAGACAAAACCAATTCGAATTTGACTAGGGTTTTGGACGGGAATCCAAGCCTTTTCCTTGCACGGGAAGTCCAGCCGCTTCATATATACCTAAGGGGTGACGGCCGATTGAACAACACACAATCAATCAAATCATCTACCATTTTTTATCTTTTATCTTTTCTTCTTAACCCTAGTTCTTCTTTCTCATTCTTCGTTCGTTCTTCTTGTTGCAGGGCGGCGAACCTCGAGGCCCTAGGGGCGATCAGATCGACTTAGGGCAGCCCATAGCCGCCGTGCGCCCTGACGGGGTTCCTCCTGGGTGTGTGGGGTTTCGGGTCCTCAAAAGCGCCTGCAGGATTGCCTGCGTACCACGCTTCCAGACAGGCCTCCTTCGACGTGAGCTGCGGTGCATCACCCCCGGCGTCGAGGGTACGCGGTGACGTGTTCGTGTGCGAACAATAATCACATTGTAGATCGGAATATGTCGCATGGACTGATGTTTGTAGATGAAGTAGTCATAGTTGACGCAGAGGCGATGTTGTTGATGATGATGTTAGCGAAGAACAATTGGAGCAGACATTTGTGATGACGGCGTGCAGCAGCGCCAAACCTTGAAGGTAGACGACCTGTGATGAAAATTGCAAGAAGTCACGTGAAGCGCTTCCAAAAATCCTATTCCCCCCCCCCCCTCTCTCTCTCTCTTAGTTTAAGATCACAAGCGTGTGAGTTTTCAGAGACCTGCTCCCACTTGCAGGTGCATACCAATGTTCGAGATCGAGTACTACGATAGCGACACAAACAATGAGAGGACAAAAAAAAATTCCAACGATTCTTGGTGTGTATTTGCCTGTGGCCGATAAGTCATATATACAAGAGAACACACACGGTCTTGTGTCGCGACCATGATGCAAATCCAAAACGACAAGGCTTCCAACTCAAAAACTTATTGGTCAAGGTTCCAACTCAAAAACTTACTAGTCAGGAAACCAAAAACAGGCAAAAGAAAACCGTGCTTCTGCAAAGCCACAAACCAAATTTCCACGGACTATTCATGTCGCATGTCGCATGCTCACTTCCAATGAGACGAACGTCCACGTATCGTGTTCTCTTTCTCTTTTCATACACATCGCTTAGTGGAGTGGAGAGATTCCACATATAACTTGGCCTCGCACCACCTTCATTTCTGAGATGGGACTAAAATTGCACCTCTAATCTTGTCATTTGTTCACGAGCCTTTATGATTTATTTGAATTTATCTATTGGACCACGTTCAAACATTCTACCACGTTAGCTTTTCTAACGAAAAAGAACATTGTATAACACGCTCCATCATCTTTGTCCATAGTTTTCTGTAAGAGATGGTTAGATGGGTTGTATTTGAGTTGTGGGTTGGCTCTTTGGTGTTTTGTTTTCGTGTCTGTTACGAAGGAGGAAAAGAGTTTGATGTCCCCTCGAACAAAAATAGAGTTTGTCGCTAAAGGTCGGGTGAAGAAAACCGGCGACTCCTGTCATGCTAGTCCTCCAATTTATGTAGAAGTAACGAAAATAAGTCTCACCTTTCAGATAAAGAAGTATGATATGATATAAATAACATACATATGCAAGTATCCAACAAAAAAAAGTTTGTGTGTGTGTGTGTGTGTGTGTGTGTGTGTGTGTGTGTGTGTGAAAGAGAGCACCTCAAAGCATGGTTGGGTAGAGGGTGTATTCACTCTTGGGGTGTGTGGGCAATTTGACATATTATAGTAAAAAAACGATCCATTATCTCAAGCGGATATTAGTGCGCTTGCGCTTGATTAATCAGAGATGTATGTATAGATAATATATGCGTTTCGATAACATTATGCAGAAGAGAAGAATTTGAACAACTTTTTTGACAAAAAAACTCAAGACCCGCTTTATAAATAAAACACAATCGCCAAGCATCCAAAATACAAACAGTTCAATACCGAAACGAGGAGAAACACGTGAAAAGAAAAAAGTAAACACGTTACAGGCAGCAGCACTTGAAGCCCCAAACCCAAAAGCAACAGAACTATAATCAGGAGCAGGAGCAGTTTCCACTACTGCATAAAACCACAGAGTTTTTAAATCGCATTATAACCATATATAATTTTACTTTTCGTATATACTGCATACATTGGTGTCCAAATTAACATATTCGGCCTCACGGCTATTGTCATCTACCAAAGATTGTACAAAACCAGAAAAAGACAAAAAAAAATCAAGTTTTTTTTAGGATTGACACTTTTTTTTTAGATATGGCGATATGTAGATGGCCCTTACCGCCTTACCGTTTTTTTTAGCGTATACCGCCTTACCGGGTATGACGGTGACAGTTCATCATTCTAGGCCCTAGGAGACCAACATTCACGGCCACGGCCTCCACTGGGCCGCAAGTTTGGGCCCGCTCTCCCGGGGTATATACCGAAACCGCGATCGCACTCTCCAGGTCCATCCAGCGCCCCTCCCTCCCTCCCTCCTCCCACCAAGCGAAATCTGAAAAGCCCTAGCCTCCCCTCCGCTCCCCCCGATCCGCCGCCGCCGCCATGGCCGCCCCCGCCGTCGCCGCTGCGCCGTCGGCCCGCAAGGGAGAGACCTACACCGACACCAAGCGCCGCGACGACGTCCGCGGCGCCAACATCGCGTCCGCGCGCTCGGTCGCCGACGCGGTGCGCACCTCCCTCGGCCCCCGCGGCATGGACAAGATGATCTCCTCGGGTGACCAGGAGGTCATCATCACCAACGACGGCGCCACCATCCTCTCGCGCATGTCGCTCCTCCAGCCCGCGGCCCGCATGCTCGCCGAGCTCTCCCGCTCGCAGGACGCGGCCGCCGGCGACGGCACCACCACCGTCGTCGTCATCGCCGGGGCCCTGCTCCGCCGCGCGCAGTCGCTCCTCGCGGCCGGCGCCCACCCCACCGCCGCCGCCGACTCCCTCCACCGCCTCGCGGCCCGCGCCGTCCAGGTCCTCGAGGGCATGGCCATCCCCATCGAGCTCACCGACCGGGACTCCCTCGTCAAGTCTGCCTCCACCGCGCTCAACTCCAAGGTCGTCTCCCAGTACTCCGGCCTCCTCGCCCCGCTCGCTGTTGACGCCGCCCTCTCCGTGGTCGATCCCGCCCACCCGGAGCTTCTTGATCTCCGCGACATCCGCATCATAAAGAAGCTCGGCGGCACTGTCGATGACACCGAGCTTGTCCGCGGCCTTATCTTTGACAAGAAGGCCAGCCATGCTGCCGGGGGGCCATCTAGGATCGAGAATGCCAAGATCGCTGTCATCCAGTTTCAGATCTCACCGCCCAAGACTGATATTGAGCAGAGCGTCATCGTGTCAGACTATGCGCAGATGGACCGCATCCTCCGCGAGGAGCGGAATTACATCCTAGGGATGGTCAAGAAGATCAAGGCTTCTGGGTGCAATGTCCTCCTCATCCAGAAGAGCATCTTGCGTGATGCCGTGACCGAGTTGTCGCTGCACTATCTTGCAAAGGCCAAGATTCTGGTGGTCAAGGATGTAGAGAGGGACGAGATTGAGTTTATCACCAAGACTCTCAACTGCCTGCCAATTGCCAACATTGAGCATTTCCGTGAGGATAAGCTTGGGTATGCTGATGTTGTCGAGGAAGTGTCTGCTGGAGATGGCAAGATTGTCAAGATCACCGGGATCAGGGACATGGGGAGGACTGCAACTGTGCTTGTCCGTGGGTCCAACCAGTTGGTTATTGATGAAGCTGATCGCAGTCTCCATGACGCCCTATGTGTCATCAGGTAATTTGACTTCCACTGAAACAATCTTCTGTGTGTTATATGAAAGGTTGTCTATCGTAGTCCTGCTTTTCTAGGTCATTGTGAATATAGCGACTTGGGTGAAGTCTTATTGGTAAATGATGTGGAGTAACTTTAAATATGCACAACATTGTTGAACAATTATTAATTATAATCGATTAAGATGATAGGATCATACTCCTAATTTTCTATTGAATCTGTTCATAGCAGTAAATTGTCAAGTGGTATAAACGAACATTTGTTCTCCTATAATATGTTTATTTACATGTTGAAAGCAACATTGTTTTAATTAGTTAAACACACAAATATTATAGGATCCCTTTGTTATTGTAGGTTGGTAGAGTAAATGCAATTTCCTATCACGTTGCTTGCACATATACTGTCATGTTCTATTTCTGCCATTATCAACATGGTCTCCTACTGTTATGTTGTTGCTTCCACATACGCCGTCGCAACAACTTCGGAAAAAATAGCTATGTTACCTTTGACCACTATATATGCTGCGGTAGACACATAGGGAGCATAGGTTCACTCGATGATTATGTGTGACACCGAGCCAAGTTTGATCAAGCTCAATTTACTTTCTTATATGCTATTTGAGTGACTCTCAGTGATCCAGTGATCACCAGGCTGGCATATTGCACATGGTGCTTTGTGTGGGCCATACACTTCCTCATTTGCTAAGTTGCATCTCATGTCTGTTCATGGTACTTTATGATGACCCTTTGTCATCTATACTTTTGAATCTGGAGATTTGGTGCTTTATGTTGGTAATAATAGATTATTCAAATTAAATTCACAAGAGTAAGCGGTGAGCTTAGGCTTTGACCTTTGAGCAAGGTGGAGACCTTTTAGGGTTAGCCTACTACTTACTGCCACAAGCAGCACTTCTGTATTTCATTCCTGGACATGGCTGCCCATTTTCACTCGAAAGAAATAGGGTTTTTGTGCAGAATTTACTCCATCCTTTCTTCTGACACTCCGCGCCTGCTTTGTGAACACAGTGAAAGCGACTCTCTCTCTCGCTCTTCACTTCACCCCTCTGTAATGCGGTGCTTGAATCTGATGGCTAGATCACCTCTTATGGTCTGCAGTAGGGCACCACGGAGTGGCTAGGCAGCAACTTTTGTTAGTTCTAATCTTGTTACAAGTAGTAGTTGTTAGTATCTGTGCATGCATACTGGCAAGTTAGGATGTTCCTAGTTCTAGCAAGATGGCAAGAAGTAGAATGTAATTAGGCTAGTAATATTAGCTAGCACTTAGTCAGCTAGTTGGACAATCTTGAGTTGCATGCAAGTGAGATATCAAAGTCAATTTGGCTAGTCATGCGAAGCAATAGTTAGCTGTTTGAGATTTAGCTGTAAAATGCCAGCTTGGTAAAGTTCGTAAGTGTAGTAGGTTTGTTGGTTAGTCCTAAAATTAAAGGACATTATGTCCTTGTAATACAAGCTTGTCGTAGTGTGTAAGCTTCAGACCCCTAGTGTGCATGTTTATGTGAGAAACCAGGATAGTGACGAAGGGGTCTGTGTGCATCATTTCCTTTATAAAGGAAATTCTGGTGGGAGCTAGTAGCTAGCTCCAATGCCTTTTTACTGCCTTTTGGATATTACGATGACAGTCTCATCTTATGCCTGTCAATTTTAACAATTCATGTTGTTGATTCATAATTAGATGATTGCTTCTGAATTTTACGAAGAAACAACTGCTTGGAGTAAAGCTCTTTTTCCAGGCCTTTTTTTACCCAAATAGGGGGTGCTGGCCTCATGGTCTTGGACATATAACAATTTAAGACAAGTTACATACCAATGTATAGGCCTTGAGCATAAGTAGGCATGTGTCCTCGTGAAATTATTATTCTTGCTCATGGTGTGTGTTTGAAGCTTGTGTATCATTTTGTGGTATTTATGGTGTTGCATATTATATGAAGTCACTTAACACTGTTTTTAGCTTAAAATGTACTCCCTCCGTCCGGAAATACTTGTCCTACAGATGGTTGTATCTAGACTTATTTTAGTTATAGATACATCCATTTTATTCATTTCTAGGACAAGTATTTCCGGACGGAGGGGGTATTATTTCTTCAGTGTTCTGATCCTGCGCGTGCTTACTTTTATGAAGGTGCTTGGTGAACAAGAGGTTTTTAATTGCTGGTGGCGGTGCTCCGGAAATAGAAATGTCAATGCAACTGGCTGCTTGGTCAAAGGAGCTCCATGGGATGGAGAGTTACTGCATCAAGGAGTTTGCCGACGCACTTGAGGTCATCCCTTACACACTGGCTGAGAATGCAGGGCTCAACCCAATCGCCATTGTTACCGAGCTAAGGAATCGCCATGCCAAGGGTGAGAAGAACACGGGCATCAACGTGAGGAAAGGCCAGATCACAAACATCCTGGAGGAGAATGTCGTGCAGCCGTTGCTTGTGAGCACGAGCGCCATCTCGCTGGCGTGCGAGTGCGTTAGAATGATCTTGAAGATTGATGATATAGTCACTGTAAGGTAAAGCCCGTACGGATGATCCTTTTTAGGGCTGTATTTTTCTGTATGGGGTGATGACCACTTTGGCCTGTCTGTGTGGGGTGCACTGAGTTACTTTTATTTGTGAACGTGGCTCTTTGATGTGTTATGATTTTGTGGCTTTGGTGTTTGCTCTAGATATTGGTATCTTGTATCAGTAAGAAGCATCCAACATTCTCCAGCAACAATATGCACAATTAACTCCAAAGCATAGGTATCTAGCAAGATTTGTTTGAGATGTTTGGTGGAATGCCTGCCGGGGCCTCGTTCTCAACTTCGTGGGCTATTTGGGATCGGATCGGTTCGTGTCGAGTTAGTTGTGTGCACAAATCTGATTATTTCTTATACTCTTATCTCCCCTGCTGATTTCGGACCTCATATAATCAAGTAGGGTGATAAAGTTTTTGATTTGTTTGCTGAGAAGACAATGTCTGATGATAACTGATGCCACACTTTGGCCCTTGCATTTCTTACAATCACACGGTTGGTGGTGCTGTAGCTTAAATGCACAATTACTTGCTCCTTTTGTCATGTCTGGCAAATCTGTTGCCTCGCCTCAGAAACAAAAACGTCTGAAGTGCCAAGTGCTGATCTAAAGTAGGAGGAAGTGAAATCATTCAATGATTGTTGTTTGCTTGAAATCCAGATTTTTTCTTTCCTTGGTTGGGCATCCCGCCATTTCAACCGCCTTGTCAGAGCCCCTCGTCCGGCAAAGCATGCCTCACAGCATCGTCCTTGTCCTAGTTGATGCCGTCGCAGCAAGGCGCTCAAAGCACATCATGGCAGTACCGATGGCCACCCTCGGATGTCCATGGCAACACGAAGCACCGGCCAACGCCCTTAGAGCCCTGTCGCAGAGTCGCTTGTAGCATGGCGTCCGCCTCCGTCGCAACACAACTTGAGCACTGGAAGCATGTTCTCCTAGTACCGATCGATGGTCGCCCTTGGAGCCCCATCGCAGCATGGCGTCGTTGCTTGTAGCATGACGTTGCAGAACCGGCCGCCGCCACCCTCGCTGCATCCGTGTGGCCTCCTGCAAAAGCTCGCCGCATTGCAGCACGTGCAGATGAGCGAGTAGCGAGCAGCGAGCAGGCTACCAACCTGCACACGGAGAGGGCAAGGAAGGTGTGGACCGGAGAGAGGGAAGGGGGAGGTGATTTCGCGAGGAAGAAGATACGTACGGGCGACAAGTTTCATGACTAATCCCTCCGTTCTAAAATAGATGACACATAGTTAGTATAAAGTTAAGTCATCTATTTTGGAATGGAGGGAGTAATGAATAAGGCTGAAGGAAAGCATAGTGAATGGGTCCAACCGGGACATATGGTTACAATCACCTCGCAACGGCTGGAGGGGGTTGAAGCGTGCCGTGGATGATCTTATTATGTGAAGATGATCCTACGAACCCAATGGTGTTTTTTTTTCTTTTTTGCGGGTGGCCGAAGGAACAACCGCGTACACCCGTCTCAAGTAAAATCGTTTTCCTATGTTTATTCGAACTTCGTCGAGTATTTGTCATTTCTGTGTTCAATGCAATTGAATCCGAATTGTGGTGTTTAACATCATGGATTTGTATATGGCTGAATTTCGTGCATAGTGCCGCGGATGATCTTATCATGTGAAGATGAACTAAGATTCCAAAACTGAAACTCAGCAGGAGCTGTTTTGAAAAGTTTGAGAAAACAATCTTAAATATAGAGTTATGTCCATGTTTTTCTTTTTCTACCCACGACTAGTTGAGCGGGTTTGGGCATTCTCAAAAGAAAAAGTTGAGCCGGTTTGGGCACTGAACACGAACACGAACACAAAGAAGTGGATGCCCACAAATGCCCATATCCATAGGCAGATCTACCCATTCTAAAAGAAAAAGATGAGCGGGTTTGGGCACTGCACACAAACACAAACACAAAGAAGTGGATGCCCACAAATGTCCATATCCATAGGCAAATTTACCCTCCTTAGTCCTGAGTTTGACTACCAATAAGCCGACAACAAAAATTCAACAGGTGTGAAATTGCCCTAAGCTTATTAAGCCATATATAGACAAGTACTCGAGTTGTATAGTTACAACACATTTTTAATTATTGTATATGTGGCATATGACATTAGTTACTTCTTATAAATATAGTCTTCACAAAAGAAGATTCAAATACATTAATTATAATATTTATCATGGAATCGGGAAAATCCCAGTCTTTGAAATACATGAAACTATCAAATACAACTAGAAGAATCGGGAAAATCCTAGTCTTCGAAATACATGAAACTATCAAATACAATCAGGAAGTTGTCATCATGGATACAAAGATCTAAACAAATACATAAAGCCTAGCTACCTAGGCTTGATTTACAAACTCCCTCAAGGGTTTTTCCAACTGTTTCATGACAGCCTCCCATCATGCATGGGTCGGGTGCATGTCATCCCAATAGAAAAATCTATTTGAATTGTCGCACACAACGTACAAAAGCTCTGCGGATGATTCGCCTTGCTGTCCGCAATAACCATCCGAATCCAAACTCTCGCAGCACGGCGATAGTTTGTGCTTGAATTGTTTAGACAGCTCTGAGCCTTTACCTACATTAATGCACATGAAATTAAGAATGTTCAGATAAAGTAGTTCAAGTACACAATCAAACCCCCATCGAATTAGATTAAGATAATTCTAAAATAATGAGACAGTTTTGAATGCATGTAGATACATACCTGCCGCATGATCCACAATATTGGTAAAGGCGGTGTATACGTCCACGATGTAGACATTCTTCTTTGATGTCATAACTTGTTTCAGATTATCGTTATGGATTGATGCACCCAAGTTTTCAAAAATATCACACGTGGTGTAGTTGTTGGTTCGGGTGTGTGATGGCGTGCAACCGATAGGGTGCAAGTTATTGACAAGAACCTTTGCACACCGAGCTTCAACAATTGATCCACATTAGCCGCAATCTCTTTTGTCACCTTCCCAATATAAGCATTAATCTACATCACATACATGAAAATCATAAGTTAGTAAGATGCACAAACAAATTAATTGTTCAAATTAGTGTACGCATATATACATTGTGTGTTGATATGTTACTCACATCATTGGGGCTACTTAGGCCAATGACGCCGGTGCCTGCATAGTCGTTGCCAGAGAAAGCCACGAACGCTACGGAGTGACTCGGTTGTTTCTCTGTGATGGTCCCGTCCTTGACCATCTTCCTGAAGGTGTCGACCTGTTTGGCGAGGGCGGGGACCTCGTGCGATGTACTATACAACACACCTGCACCACCAGTAGCGAAGGTCATGCCAGACGGGTCGCAGGTTTTCTTGGTCGTCAGGGCATGCACCGGAGGGGCTCCCTCCAACCCCAACATGGTTGCTTCAAGTTATTAGTGAAGCAGTGAGTACGGTAGGGTTAATTACGATGCAGCAGGGATTACATATTACTTTTTATGGTATAATATAACATAGCACTTACCGATGAAATCCGACTAGATTTTATAGTTTGAGAAGCGGAGTTTGGGTTCGCTGTGGTGGTCTTCGTGCTTTGGGCACTGCAGTTGTTTTACAAACTGCTCGTGTGGGGGTACTCTGTGGTGGACATGGTGCTTTTTCAACTAGAAGTGGGTTACTATCCGCTGGGGTTGGGGTTAGATGGGTTGTAGCTGGTTCTCTTCCCAACGATCTAAGTGTGCAATCTGGAAGAGTCTCGATTATGTGTGGTGCGGCAAGTTTGTGGGCCAGTATAACCATGGTTCTATCTGCGTCGACGAGTAGCACTGTCTTTTGTGAAGGACGGATTTTTGCTCCCTTAGATACTGCCATCACCCCTCCAATTCAAATGGCTGATAACCAAGAAAAGAAATTAAACGTACAAACATTGTATGATAGACAAATGTGGCAATTCACATATATCTTGTCTAAGCAAACATGACAGCATGACACAATTTCACATATATGATGCCTGTCGTGGTTCTAAGTCTGACAGTAGAATATGGGGGTAGGAATGGAGAGGCAAGATCTTAGCTATGGAGGAGTTGTACACACAAGGTTTACGAGTTCAGGCCCTTCTCGGAGGAAGTAACAGCCCTACGTCTCGGAGCCCGGAGGCAGTCGACTGGATTATACGTGTGTGAGTTACAGGGGGTGCAAACCCTTGTCCAAGAGGAGGGGGGGTGGCTTATATAGAGTACGCCAGGACCCCAGCTCCCCTCCGTTACACATGGTTCAATATACATTAAGAGGAGGCGTTACAGGTAATGCCTGTATTAAGGTGCTACAAATGAGCATTAAGTATGTGAATGAATGCTTGACCGTTGCTGCGCGGAGTGGCTTTAGGTCTTCTGATATGTCGAGTGGTTTGGTGGTCGAGTGACCTGAGTAAGAGAGGTCTCCGAGTGATTGATAGGTCGAGTGGACTTCGCTTCGACACCTTTGTTGGTCCTCTACTTCTGACTCTTGAACTCCTTAGTTCTTAGGACAAGACCTTAGGTGGGGCGTATAGGTCAGGCCTATTACCCTACCCTAGGTCTGTGTCTACATCATTAGCCCCCGAATGGATCGAGGTTTGAGTGAAAAAGAAGGACGATAATTGACCTGGTTCTCGCCCTTGATCTGCCTTGTCTCCTTCGAGTGGAGGACAACTATTTGAAACTTTCGACTTCGTTTCAGTCGCCTTGATCGATTCAAAAATCACCGACCAGTTTGTTCAGTGACATCTGTCGAGTGATATCTCTGCTTGGAATCTTTGGTGAGATCGGTTACAGAGGATCCAGGATCTCACGGGATTCGAAATTTGGGTGGAAGCGCGCCAGGCGGAGCGCCCCGCGGTAAGTGGAGTAGATAAATCGGACGTTTCGATTTCCGCGCCACCTTTTTCGCCATGTATCACGTGTGCAACTGTTGGGGGGATTTGACAGGACTGATCGGGCCCATGCGTCAGCCACTCGGAAGTAGGCCTTTAAAAGCGGCGAAGCCGAGGCATTCGCACCGTGCGTGCT